GTGTCTATGTTTTCTCTCCACAACACCATTCTGTTGTGGAGTGTATACACAGGATGTCTGATGAATAATACCTTTGGTTTCAAAAAAATCTTTAACTTTGTGATTAACAAACTCAGTACCATTGTCAGATCTTACAATTTTAACTTTAACAGAAAACTGATTTTCAACCAGATTTAGAAAAGACAAAACACAAGAAAACACTTCATCTTTTGACTTAAGAAGATAAACCCATGTCCCCCTAGAAAAATCATCCACAATAGTCAGAAAAAATTTAAAACCCCCAACTGAAGCTACTTTGTATGGACCCCAAACATCAAGATGAAATAAGTCACCAATGTTTTTAGAATTATGAAGACTAGTAGTGAAAGATTTTCTAGTTTGTTTAGCCTTGTGACATATTTCACAAGGTGGAAGCGACTTATTGTTAAAATTCAGTTTATCTTGTAAAACATTTAAGGCTTGCTCAGCTGGATGACCAAGCCTACTATGCCAAATTAATTTTGAGACAAAGCATTTAATAGTACTGGAATTGCAAGAGAGCTTGCCTGAGGGAGTACTGGAAAGATAGTAGAGTCCCCCTCCCTCATTACCAGTCTCCATGGACTGTGAATCCTGCACCATACAATTATATTCATCAAATAAAACTTTGCATTTACTATCTTTGCAAAGTTTATGGACATACAAAAGATTTACATTAAATTCAGGTATGACAAACACATCAAATAAAATAAGATTATTTGAAAGACTCATATTTCCAATTTTTTGAACTTTAGCAGTTGATCCATTTGGGTGATCAACTCTCAGATTAAGATTAGACACATTAACCACATCATTAAGATTGTATTCAGATGAAGTCATGTGTTGATTTGCCCCAGAGTCAACAACCCATTTATTAGATTGAAAAGAGTTGTTAAAGACATAATTACATGAAGTACCTGCCATATTGGCACTAGCAGTTACTTCATCCACAGATTGTTTATCACTGATAAGTTGATGAAGCTTAGAAAATTGATCCCCAGTGAGAGACCTAAGATCAGAAGAGATAGAACTGGAAGTGGAAGAGTCACCATTACTATTATTAGATGTAACATTATTTCCAGAGAAAGACTTTTCAGCGTTATTATTAGAAAAATTGTTACCAGAAGAGTTGTTAAAACCTTTATTGAAACCATTTCTTGGTTTGAAATCCTTAGGATATCCAATCAATTTAAAGCATTTTTCAATGGTATGACCCTTCACACCACAGTTCTTGCATTGAAGATTTTGATTAGGACCTCTATTTCTCCTATTATCACTAAACTTACTGTTGAACACAGAGGTGGTTTGAGACTTAATAGAAGAATTGGACACAGAACCATTTTTTTGAAAAGATTCTTCTCTAGATATAATAGAAAAGGCAGTTCTAACATTAGGTAAGGGATCAGTTAGGAGAATGTGACTTTTTACTTGATTGTAACAGTCATCAAGCCCACTTAAGAACTGCATTAGTTTCATAAGTTTTGAATGGTTATTGAATTGGGTAGAGGCAGTACAAACACATTCAGTTAAATTTGTTAAACCATCAAATTCTTTCAATAATGAATCAAGTTTATTGTAGTAGTCAGAAACAGATAACCCGTTCTGTGTCAACGAGTTGATTTTTTGATGAATGTTAAAGACAACAGATCCATCTGATTTAAAATAGGTTTCATTTAGTTCATTCCAAATGTCAACAGCCTTTTCAGAGCAAACATGTCCTGCACAAATGGTTTCAGAGATAGATCCAAGAAGCCAAGAACACACAACAACGTTTGCTCTTTCCCATTTAAGAGATTTAACCGGATCATTAGCAATTTTAGTTACTGTTCCCTCCACAAATCCAAGTTTGTTTTTGGCTTTTAGAGCTCTAGTCATAGAGCTTTTCCAAATTCTAAAATTTTTGGTTCCAAGAAGCTTAAAAGAAATAATAGTTCCAGTTACAGTGTCGGTAGGATGAATATACAAAGGATAATCAACATCTGGTGTTTCAGTGGACTTAGTCCCTGATCCACCAGGAATCTCACCAGCAGTCATAGAGAATAACAATCACAACAGAAAACAAAGAGAAACTGAGTTACTTAATGACCAGGATATTAAGCCAATATGATGGTGAACCAAGATCAATAATCAGATCTCAAAGAAAAAGAAAGAAAACAAAACAGAAAAGGTAAAAGAATGAGAGCAAACAGACAATGAACTCAACAGACCTGAACACAGGATACCAGGACGAAGACCCTGAACAGAAAACAGTGAAGAAGACTTACAGCGAGAGTTATTATGTCTTCTACTCCAGCAATGAAGATTCACGATCTTCAAATCAACACGTACCCGCAATTAGATGAACACAGAATTAGGGTTACACAACCCTAGGTTCGATTTGTAACGTATCAGACAACAATCGCCTCTCCTAGGGTTTGTCCTACCAGAGTTATTTCAGATACAAGGTCCGATCTCGACTTCGAGTTAACCGGAGCCTGAATCCGTTCTCTAAGAAGGTTAACAAACCCTTATTTTGGAGATTAAGCGATCTTCAATTTACAGTCGTTTTAACACGAACCACCAGATGGATTCCTTTGAGTCTCCAAACGATCTGCACAAAGAAAGACAAATCGCAGTACCAAAGAACTCGAAACAAAAAACTAATGCGGAAGAAGGAAGAGAAACTACGAACACAAACCTTTATGAAGAACTTCAGTGATGTCGTAGAATCCCGATTAGAGCACCGATGGCTCTGATACCATGTACAAAATCACAAACAAAGGATTTCCCAACATAAACAATCTATCTTATTAATAGATCATAACGTTTTCATTTACTTACAATAGAAATCTCACTACAAATTCCTACACTACTCTCAAAAGATTACACTTAATAGACCAAGAACAAATCTAGATTATGAACATTCTCACAAGACTATAAAACCCTAACTTCGCAGATTGAGGTAAGAAGAACTTGAGAGAGAATGAACAGATACACTCCTTTTTTCTGAATGAACTCTTATCTATTTTTTCATTTTAATTACCTGACCCAAGTCTGAGTACCCTTGGAGTATCCAAACCCGGAATATGACCCAAATGTATAATCCTGCAATCTTTTGAAATAATTTATCATACACAAACTAAAATAATAAAATATTTGTAAAAGAAGTCAACTATAAGTTTGACCAACATTAAATCACACATTTTAACAGTTAAGGTTTGATAATATTTTGGAATGTCACTCACAAAAAGATAGTTCATTGGTTGATACAAAACTATTTGGAATGTCATTCACAAAAAGATAGTTCATCACTTCATTGGTTGTCTGCATTTGATGTTGCAGTCTATCTAATATTATTTATTAAGCACTCCAACCTCCATTCGAAATAGTAAACAATCAATTTTTGAAGGTATAATCCATCTTCATATGTTTTGTAATATATGATTGTAATTTACTAATTAAATTATTGTTTTGTCAGTAGATTATGTGATTTTTTAAAGTTAATTCGTTACTTTCTTTCACATTGTCTACTTTCTTATTAACGGAATCTTAATCATTATCGATGCACACATGTGGTTTCCTCAACAAATGTATCATTCATAAACAAAGATGGGTGGTTTCCTCAACAAATGTATAATTCCTAAGGCTTTGGGGTATCGTCACAAGTGGTTTCTGAGTGAAGAGGAGGCCATGTCATTATTTAACCATTTCATAACCAATCCATTAGGTTGTAAATGGTGGTTACTAGTAGCTAGACAGTAAAGATGCAAAAAGAAGAGAGAAAATGTGAGGGAAAGAAGAGGGAACCAATCAAATTGATCATCTTACTCCATCTTCACAGCCACTCCAAGCCACTCTACAACCAAGTCATCGGTCCATGAGGCGGTGTTCACGCATCCTTTGGACTGTTACGTCGGAAATCACGTGTCTCTTTGCCCACCATTCTGATAGCCTAAACAAAGACAATACAAAATCATTGGAAAAATATCAAACTTACTTGAAAAATCTAAATTATCACATAAACTTACTCGAGTTTCATCCATGAAGATATGAAGGGGTATCAATTTTTATTGAAGAATGATTTTTTTAAGGCTTTTACTGTTTATGGGGTACCAATTCGGTACAAGGAATATGTTGGGGCTGATTTATTTATTTATTTTTGAAGATTTTGTATAATAATCCGTGCTAAGGTATAGTATTAATTTTTCGGTTTGGGTTCGGTATCTTCGGGTAAAACTCAGTAAACTAACTGGGTAGTGGGTACTACTAGACCTGTCAATGGGGCGGGTTTTGACCCTGATTCGCTCCAAACCCGTAAGAATTTTACGGGTTTGGATTGTAATTTTCGATTCGTTTACCCGTTTACGATCCATACCCATTTACCCTTTTAATAAATGGGTCGGGTATGGATCATTGTCGATCCGCTCCACTTATAACCCACCCCATTATATATATATATATATATATATATATATATATATATATATATATATATATATATATATATATATATATATATATATATATGACAACAAAATATACAACTTGATGTCTAAGTAAAATATGATTTTTATTGTATTGGACTTTGAGTATTTATTAATGTACATCTTGCTTAAGTAGACATTTTATTTTTTTGAGAAATATTACTTTGTGGAACACATAAAAATTATGAAAATTTAATATTATAAAAGGGTCGGGTTAATGGGTCAGATATTCGTCGATTCGCTAGATATGGGTATGGATTCGACTATTCAAGACCCTGAGGGTTATTGGAGCGGGGCGGGTCATGTTTTTATTTTTTTAAAACGGGTTTGGATCAATGGTGATTCGCTCCAAACCCGTCCCATTGACAGGTCTAGGTACTACCGAATAATGGGGTAACAAGGCAAGTACCGGTTCGCATTTGGGTCTAAATACCGGTTCGGGTTATGTATTTGATCCGCTTTCGAAATGAAGTGTCTGACTTGTTCCGGTTGTGCTGAAGCCTGAATGCTAGTGCTTTTATGCTCAAGTTTTAACATCGATTGAGACCCAGAAAATGGCGTCTGTCTCTTCCTTATCCTTATGCTTCCTTTCTGCTCATGCCCAAGCTCGCTCCAACAAACCTCGTAAACAGCTTGCCCCCAAAAAACCTAATCCCAAAAAGTTCAACAGCATTACTACCCCTCGTCCAGAGTCTATTTTCTCCGTCTCAGGCGGCCAAGCCACCACCTACACTCGCCTACCTCCCAGAGACGATGACTTCTCCGATTCCTTTGCAGAGATCAAACTGTCCGATTTGGCAGCATCGATGCAAAAACAAAAGAAGCCTTCCTCCGGTAGTAAAGATAAGACAGAGGATAATGCAGAAATAGTTAGCGATGAAGAGGATTCAGGGTTTGATTATGGGAAATTTGAGTTATATGAGGTAAGTTCCGATGATGAAATTGACGGCGACGAGTTTGAGGAAGACGAATTAATATTTGAAAACAAAGCGGAAGATGAATCAGGATTTGAATACAAAGGGGAAGAAGACGAAGGAGAAGGTGAAGGCGAAGAAGAAGATGAGAGAGAGAAGGAGAAAGGAGTGCCTGCAGTGATGAGATGTTTCGACAGGGCGAAAATCTACGTGAGGTCAGGAGACGGAGGTAACGGCGTGGTGGCGTTCCGCCGTGAGAAATTCGTGCCTTTCGGCGGGCCATCCGGTGGTGACGGCGGAAGAGGAGGCAACGTCTACATGGAAGTCGTTAGCTCTATGAATTCTCTGTTACCCTTTAGGAATAGCATTCATTTCAGGGCTGAAAGAGGGAGTCACGGACAGGGGAGCAAGATGAATGGAGCAAAAGGAGAAGATGTTGTTGTGAAGGTACCACCTGGAACGGTGGTCAGAGCCGCCGGAAAAGATGGAGCTCCCGGAGATTTCTTGTTAGAGCTGTTACATCCAGGTGATAGGGCTTTATTGTTGCCTGGTGGAAGAGGTGGAAGAGGAAATGCTTCCTTCAAATCAGGAGCCAATAAAGTGCCTAGAATTGCAGAGAATGGTGAAGAAGGTCCTGAAATGTAAGTTCTCCATAACTTTTGTAAATCATTCAATCAATTTCTATAACCCACAACTTTTAATCATTTGTAATGCTGTTTTTTTTTTACAGGTGGTTGGAATTGGAGCTAAAATTGGTTGCTGATATAGGAATAGTGGGAGCTCCAAATGCAGGAAAAAGCACCTTTTTAAGTGTTATTAGTGCTGCACAACCAAACATTGCAAATTACCCCTTTACAACTCTACTTCCTAATTTGGGTGTTGTTTCATTTGATTATGATGCTTCCATTGTTGTAGCAGATCTTCCAGGTTTACTAGAAGGGGCCCACAGAGGCTTTGGTTTAGGCCATGAGTTTCTTAGACATACGGAAAGATGTTCAGCTCTGGTATATTTCTTTTCGCATTGATCCAACATTTTTGCTAAATGACCAAAATACCCTTACTGTGAATTAATAGTTGTGTGATGGAAATGGAGGCTTAGGTACACATTGTTGATGGCTCATCTCCACAACCAGACTATGAATTTGATGCAGTTAGACTTGAGATAGAAATGTTCAGTCCCGAACTTGCTGAAAAACCTTTTATAGTTGCATACAACAAAATGGATCTTCCGGAAGCTTTTGAAAAGTGGGAATCATTCAAAGAGAAGCTTGTTTCACGTGGGATTGAACCTTTTTGCATTAGTGCAATAAACAGAGAAGGGACTCGGGAGTTGATTACTGCTGCTTATGAGCTTGTAAGACAAGGAATTGAAGATTCAAAAGATGAAAGTAAGCTGAGTTTATTAGCCACATGTTTTTCTGTTTTATATGGACTTAATCTGCTAACTAAAACACAAAATGAAAATGAACATGTTAAAAAATAATGTTATATTTATTATTATTCTAATTAATCAGCAAATGGTGTCTAATGCAGTTTGGAGAGATCCTGTAGAATTCAGCCACGTGGCTGAAATGGTGAAGAAGCAGCGAACTGCTCCCATTGATGAATTTGAAATTTCTCATGATAGTGCTTCAGATACATGGCGTATTGAAGGTGCAGGATTGCAGCGATTTGTTCAAATGACAAATTGGAAGTAAGTTTTTTCTCTCTCCTAAATAAAATATTAAAATAAGATCTTCAATCCCAAAAGTTCTTATAATATGTTGTTTTAGAAGGGCTACTTTCATTTCTTTCTGTTACATAATTGTACTTTTAGTTTTATTCTTATTAAAACTTTTACTTGTTGTATAATAAATAGATACATGGATTCCGATAGAAGGTTCCAGCATGTTCTAGAAGCATGTCGTGTTAACAAGACTTTAATTAAACGTGGTGTGAAGGAAGGTGATACAGTCATCATTGGCGAGGTATGTTACTTTGTTCTCAAACTGATTTCCCAAAAATACCCCTCAAAAACAAACAAGAAGAAAAAAAAGACATGAATAAAAACTTTTTACAAAGTTGGAGTAATTATGGAAATGTTTGTTTATGGTAGATGGAGATGATATGGCATGATTCTCCAACAAGTTCTGGTCCAAACAGGAAGGTATCTACAGAATCTGTTAAATGGGCAGACTGGAAATGATCCACGTGTACTTCCATGTTTTTATTTTACTCAAACAAAGGTGCTGATTATTTATAAAGGTATGTATATATACATATATCATTAATTATTATTTCAAATTTATAGCCTAGTGCAGTGCTTTAATCTCAAAAACATTAATTTTTTTTTTTTAAATCTTAATTTTTTAATGCACATATCATTATGTGCAGTGCCTGACGTCACCAATGGTCACTGACCAAGAGCAGCAGTTCCTATACAAGTTAATGTTGTAGTTCTATTTTTGGTAAACTGATATATGCATGGTCATTTTGGTAATATTGTGCTTTCTATGTTTGAAGCAATATAATGTTCGATTTGACATAAGTTTTATATAAATATGTAACTGGTTTTCTCAAGACCATGTCTTTGTATTTGCCTGTTAAAATAAACATTCCACACTATTCATTTACATGCAACTCACCAATAGGTGTAATATAATCCAATGTTGTATGCTAATGCTATGGTTGCTTTTGTGAACCAACAGACATTTTTACTATATCTAATGCAATAATATTCATCTCAATTCCACAATTGGTGATCACATTGAAGTCATCTTGATTGATCTTGCATCCTGTCCCATAGATGTGGTGTATTCAAGAATCTTCATACCTTTCGAGAGTCGTACACACCACTCTTTTGGACAATATGAGAGCATTTTACTTCTCCTTCTTCCTTGTTTTCTTAGAACATCATTCGACTAATTAGGATCTCTGAGGACTTACACGTGTTAGTAATACAATCAACACACTTTAAGAAGCGAGGAAATATAGGAACACATGAACTTATGTTGTATGCTTCCTTCACGTCAAATGAACCATTTATCTGGTTTGTGACTAGCATTGAGTCAATGTTTTTTTCATAGAGGTTTTGCGCCTGTTTTCTGTGTTGGTCTTAGACTAGCTATTTTTGCCTTGTTATTTGAATATGCATCTCTTGAGGTTAACCTTGATTCTAATTGTGAGAATTGTGTAAATGTCCCTTGCGTAACTACAATACATGTACTTTGGTCTTTGGTCTGATTTCATCCTATGACCACGTCGTCTACGTAGTCATCTATGTTTCTTCCGTATATGGTTGGTGCCTTGTCTACTAGCTTGTGATATTTCATTACTATATTCTTGAGTTTGAAAGACATCTTATGGTAGCAAATTGGCCCCTTATCTCAATAGAACATTGTCTTTTCTTCGTATGTTATAGCCATTCGACTAAGGGGAGTGGAAGTCTAGGCATATATTTACGTCCAAAAGGGCAAAATAGTCAATTATGAGAAAAATATGAGAACATGAAGTTGTGACTTCATGAAAATGACCAAAACAAGTTTAAGTCAGTTAAAAGGGGCTAGATGAGTAAGTTCAAGATAAAGAATGCATGAGAAGATGCGTTTTGGCCAAAAGGGTAAAATAAGAAATTTTATGTTTTGGGCTAACTTTGTGACTTAATAGATTAGGATCCTAATAAGTCAGTGAGATATGACTTAACAGAAGTCTAAAGTATGTTCCCACCTTCGCGTGGATATAATGAACATCGAAAACGGATAAGAAACAAAGAAGTTATAAGGGTTAGAAGTTGGGACAAAATTACCACAAAGTTGGAATGAAATCAACCAAGGGAGCTGTTGTCAAGCAGCTACCGCGGCACGGTGGGTAGATAACCATGTCAGTGCGAGACTTTGTCGTAAGATAGAAAGACAATGCACTTTGCCCTGCGACACCGTATACGAGTGTTACGGCGTGGTGGTCAAAGTAGGATGTTGCAACGTCCGCAGATTCGAGCTAGTCAATTTAGAAACAAGCGTTAAAAATGACTTTTTGATAGAAGATTATTTAGAATAAATAATCTTAACCAAAATATAGTATATGTCACAAGGATTCCGTACATATAAAGAACGCTGAAACCCAACTTATAACGAAGAAGTTATGACTCGTCGAAGTTTTGCGATAAAACCGGCACAAGGTCACGTATCGTAAAAAGTGAATTTTTGATAAACTACTTTTTAGCCTTAGCGATCTAAACAAAAGTCGTAGTATATGTTAAACCGAGAGCGTGCATTTAGAGAACGTCCAAATCTGACTTCGTTTGAGGAAGTTATGATTTTTCTAAGATTTAGTCTAGCAGTGCACAGCCCAGAAATCGAATTTTAGATCGATCGATTTTTATCCGACACAACCTAAATGAGAATTGAAGATCTCATTAATAGGATAAATGAAAGTTGTAGATCACGTCGCTACATACGTGTGGATATAAAGAACGTAAAAAACGAAGCTCGTATGCGAAAGTTACGGATTTTAAAAGATAGTTTTTGGAGTGACCAACGAGTGACACGTGACACCATCTCAGCCACAACTTCCTCCTCACGCCTTGCCACCAGATGGTGACACTTGGCACCCCAACACGTCGTGTAGGCATCAGAACACGCCGTGTTGGTCAGTTTCCCATCGTATAAATAGAGACGAAAATCACCCATTTTCTTCACACCTTTCCAATTCTCTTCTCTCAATTACTCCCAAACCCTTTTCTCCCTTACCTAACACTTCCTAAGTTTTAGAGGCGAGTCCCAGAGCGCCAAAAGGCTTCGAGAAGAAGAGCTTTCGGCTCAGAAGTTCTGCCCGAGCAGAGCCCGGTTTCTTGCTAAACCCCCTTGTAAGTGAGTTATGCTTACCATACTTTAAGTATAACTTATGTTTAAGTTCATTATCGTTATTATGGACCTATAAAGAAGATTTATCAGTGATTCAAAGTCGTTATACTGATTGATCTACTTACGGGAGAGGTGTCTAGAATGGTCACGTTGGCTTGGTTGGTGGATTTCAGAAAAACTATATGCCGAAATGGTCCTGCCTCCCAACTGTCCTGCCTGGTTGATCCTTACTTGATAGATCATTAAGTAGACTTTGAGTTAATGATGAATCTAGACTAATAATTAGTCTCAATAATTATTAGACTAAAATCTAGTAATAATGATACTAGGTTTCGTCGAAGGAAAAGAAAATTGTTAGAAGCGAAGCGCTGCCCGAATTACGAGTCATCACTTTAACAAGTGAGTGCATAGTTACTTTCATCTTACACATAGATATGAAATATTTAATATAAATTACGTGCTATGTGTATATATTATCTGTGTTCTTGATATTTATGCTGGATGAACAAAATATACATGTTTTATTCTATTTAAACTGTATATGTATTTTATACCTATAATTATGATGGGTAAAGATGGGTAGATGAATGATGAGAAATAAAAGATGATATATATGATGAGTGGTGGAAGATGATGAGAAGCCTTGATTTAAACGATGATCCAGTCATCTAGCAAAGTATAGATGACGATCACAGGCTATTCTAGACAGTCCAATGGAACGCTAGCATGTTTGCAACCTGTAGGTGTTTTTGAACTACATGTTCACCAGATGTACTCTAAAAACCATGGCAGCTATGGACTTAGTGTCTTATGAATGGACGTTGGCAGCTATGGATTTAGTGCCCTATAGATGAACGTTGGCAGCTATGGACTTAGTGCCTATTAGATAAACGTTGGCAACTATGGACTTAGTGACTGTTAGATAAATCCTGGTAGCGATGGACTTCGTGCCTATTCCTTAGGACAGTCCTTAGGAATGAATGAATGAAGAATAGATGATTCTTAGGGTAGATCCTTAATAAAAAAGAAGATAATGAGGATGGGAAGATGGGTTAATTGTTTGATGATTAAACATAATAATTATATTATTGTGGGTTGAAAACCCTATGTACTCACCATGTTTTCCAATCTGACCCACTCAGTTTATTTGTATCACAGGTATCGATGCGAAGATACATTACACTGAGAGATTAAAGGAGATGTAATTCATTAATGTAAATAATGTAAGGTCTGTTTATGCTTATGTTTCTGTATTGACGATGACATCCCAACATTTTAATATAATTAAAATACATTTTTTCGGAAATGCTTTGATAACATCTTTATCATGTTTTTCTGGGAACAAATTCCGCAATATTATTCTTTAAAATTGATACTCTGATTTTTAAATAAGCATAAATAAAAATTTTAAAATGACCGTGAAATTGGGGATGTCACAGATGCTAGTGGAGGAAGGGCACCACGACACAGCAAGCAGATCGCCACGACGTGGAAAGCAAGTGGCGTCCATTGAACGAGGTCAAATGGTCACTGTGGCACGATAAACAGATGGTCGCGGTGCGGAGTCACATCAGATAAAAAGGTTGTTAAGTCTTTATCTTCGTCATTTAACGCCCCCAAGTGAAGCTCTGATGATTTGCAAAAGGAAGAAGGGGCAAGAGGCGGTCTAGGGTGTTAATAGCTTGGATTGAAGGTGGAAAGCTTGTGAGGTAATCATATTCTCCATAATTAAGATAATTAGGTCTTAATGGTGTTTTGATGAATTGGTTAGATTGGTTAGCTTGATTATCCTAAAGATTAAGTATGATGTTATTAATAGTGTCTAGATGCTTTAATTAAGTTTAGAAAATGATTCCCATGGTGGAATCAATCTAATGAGAGTTAGGGTTTGAAACCCTAACTAATGATTATGTTTAATTGGTGGATTAGATGTTAGATTATAAGGAATTAGGTATTATTGGGTACTTATTCATTAATTGTTTGGGATTAAGAGATAGATAATGAAAAGATAGGAAGTGACCCATTAAGTGATTATTTTGACTTAAAGAGTTAATAAGCTCTTAATAGGCTAAGACAAGTATTAATAACTTGTATATGTGTATGATTAGGCCTAAGAGTTGAAGGATCCAGAATGCATCAATGGTAGAGTAGAGAAGAATATGATAGTTAGTCCTCACTAACTGACAAGGTGAGTTATTACTCTCTCTCTATCACACCCCCGAACCAGGACGACGGAAACGTCCGGGGGCGGATGACTTCATTGTATTGTATCATCACAATTGAATATAATTGAAAACATTGCAACCAACATCATACATTAAAGATACCAACAAACATTGTTTACAGATTGTATTTGTTCACAAATTTACACAAAAGTGGCATAAAATATGATGTTCCAAAATGTAGTAAATATCTAAAATCCATAGCCTGAATACCTGCTCACTGAGTCTGTAACAACCCATTATTTTCAAGTCTGTAAAAGTCAACCAAAGTCAACAAAAGTCAAACTTACTAATGAAAGTCAAAATTTATTGATTTATTAATTTATTAAGGCTATGTCACACCCCCGAACTAGACGGCGGAAAACATTCGGGGCCTTGTGTGTGACTTCATCTTGTAATATCATCACAATGTATATAATTGCAACAAGACAACACAATAATCATACATATCAAAATACAACCAACATTGTTTACATCAAGTATAGTATCATAGTTACATGCAAAAATATTCAATGTATGATGATAACAAAATATAACAAATTCCACAATTCCTGCTGACCTTTCCGCTTAACGATTCATTGAGAATACAAGTTATTTTGAAAACGTCAACATATATAATGTTGGTGAGTTCATAAGCATGTTTGAATGAAAAAGTTTTGTATTGTTCGTAAAACACCAGAAAATCCGATATTTTCTGTATAATAGTTTGAAAGTAATGTGAATAGTAGTTTATTGTATAGGTCCTTGTTTATTGTATATGTGACCTGTAAAGACAGTATTTGGAGCTGTGATAAGTTCAGCTATCTTTCAAACTGTGATGTAAGTTTTCCCCACTGTACTTGTGGGTCGAAGACACCAATATCGGCCCACTAGGTTATGTATCATGCTATATAGGATGATGTTATGTTGGTTATATGATATATTGGTAGACCTGTATGATTACCTGTACTTGATGGTTATGTGTTTATTTTTATCTATTGCATATGTCGACATATTATGATTGGGTTGAGGCGGTCATGCTTTGTGCTGAAGGCCAAGATACCCAGGGCAGTCGCGATGGGTTGTAGATCATGTGAGGCGGTACAGTCATAACAAATGCCCGAAGAGCGGTCCAGATAGGCTGTAGGCCCTACGAGGCGGTCCAGTCAGGCTGAAGGCTCATATTTGCATGCTATTATCTGTTTGGTTGTGTGTGGTACCTTGGGGGAACTCACTAAGCTTTGGCTTAAAATTTGCTTTTATGGTTTCAGGTAGTAACCTCTAGGTTTTGAGAATCTTGATTTTCCTCATTGTTGCTACAAATTGGAAGAAGTTGTATATGGCTTAAAGCAGGCACCCAAGGCATGGTATGAAACTCTTTCTACGTTTCGTATTGAGTATGGATACAAACATGGGGTCATTCATCCTACCCTCTTTCGATCTTCAAGTAAAAGGGGCAAGTTGAAGACTTGATTGTGCACATCATCCTAGATTTCATGTGTTTTTATGATTTTGAGATACTCTGATTCATGATTGTGACTTTTGGGAACTTGTTTTGTAAAACTTATGGATTTTGGAATGGTTTTAAAAATAAAGTTTTTCCTTGATTTCTGGGATGTTACACGATTCAATTTGTAATCAAATTACCTTCCCGACCTTCACTTTTTATTTAATAACCCCAACCTTTTTAATACTTACATAAATAACTCTCATATGAGTAAGCGTTCGAGATTTGTCCTCGTGGTTCCTACCATTTTTTGAGTTCCTAGATGATTATATATATATATATATATATATATATATATATATATATATATATATATATTACTTACATTTAGAAAATAGATATATTTAATTATTAATGAAATCTGATTTCCTTCCTTCCGTATTCGTAATATTTCGTATCATTGACATTGTATTGAATTTGAACATCAATGAAGACAATACAGAGGCTACAAATTCCAACATACTTTAAGTTGTCATTTGGTTCGTTCTTTTTAGTATAAATAGTAGACGACATAAAATTATTTATGTAGCTTTCAAAAGATCATAAATTCAATTTTTTATATTGTTTCAATTTGAAGGTCATCATGAGGAAGTCAGTGTTGGAGGAAGAAATATGAATTCTAGCATGAATGAAGTATCGAATTGGTTTTTGGATATTTTTTAACAATTGCACACTGTATTATGAATGTTTTCATTTTTCAGTTTTATTTGGATGTTTATGACTTTATGTTGAAAACCTTTTGTTTATATTAATCATTTTAATCACTTTATGACTTTATGCTGAAAATACCTCATTTTTTTAAATGTGTTGCTTATTTATTAAACGTGTTACGTGGTTTGGGTTCGACCCACTAACCTATGAACCTGCAAACCCGTATACTTAAACGAGTTATATAGTTGACTTGAGTTGAGGTAGGGGTGACAATGGGTTGCGTTGGATCATAAACAGGTTGACCTGTTTAATTAAATGAGTTGAAAATATCTATCAAACCCAACTTGTTTAAGTAAATGGGTTAAAAATTCTCAACCCAACCCAACATTTTTAGTAAATGGGTTGAAATCGGAGTGACATGTTTATTGTTTTTCCAAGTAAACCTATTTACTAAACAAGTCAAACCAAGGTTGACCCGTTTCAATTTTCACATAAAAAAAACCCTTAAAAATCAAATAATCCTTCAAATAAAATTATATACAATTTAAAAGCTATAATAATTGTTCAAGTTTGAATATTACACAACAATAACTTTATATGCCAATAAAACAAACACAAAAAAGGGTTTACAACCATAAATATTATAAATGATTAATTTTTAAATTCTATGCAACTTAACCATCATTTTTACCAACTCGAATTTTAGTAATTGTTACTGACTTATGGTTTTTTGATAAATAAAAAATAATCAAAATATAATGATCAACTAAATAATAATAATAAATAAATATAAATTAAAAAATATTTAAAAATTTTAAATAGGTTGTCGGGTTTTAAATGAGTTAGAAATTTCAACTCTAACTGAACCCATTAAATTAAACGGGTTGGACGGGCTGACCCATTTAATTAAATGAGTCCAAAATCTTTACGCAGCCTGCTATTTATTGTTGGTTTGACGGGTTTGGGTTGGGATTGCCACCCCTAGGTTGAGGTTTTCAACCCGTGACCCGTCGATCCATATATTATATGGGTTGTTTTGAGTTTATATTTTTTGGCTCGCCAACCCGTCAATCCGTGACTTGCTAACTCGAACACAACCCGATTGTCAGGCTTAATAATCATGCATGTGTGTATATGTGAAACTATTAGATTTCTTTTTATAAACTTGGACGGAGAATAGGGTAGCTAGAAAAACCATGTTAACCGGAGAAGACGATTGGGGACTCATCGAATCTATGGATTCCCGAAAACCGGCTAAACCTATACCAACTGGTCATAATAAATGATATTTTTTGAACATAATAAACAAGTTTAATTACGAAAAAAATATAAATGACTAAATATATATACAAACTAAACTATATTATGTTTATAAATCATTAACCCATTAAAATAAGAGAAATTAAAATAGAAAAAAAGTAAGTTAAAGAAATATTTGATTTCTTTTAAAATAATACTAAACCAACAAATCCATGATATTTTTTTTGTTTATTTACTTTTATTCAATCGATTGAAATCAAGGTATACGTACATGATACAAGTAAGTATACATGTGTATACAAATTTCAGGGTGATACCCATTCCTGCCTTATTGTTACTCTCACTTGCATCAGTTTCCCGTGAAACTTACAAGGTGAGTAAACCCTAATCTGATCTCTAATTTCTATTCTTATCTTCTATTCAACACCCAAGTAATCGAAATTCCTGCTTTGTTATAATCGTTGATTCGATTGCTTTGCGCATGTGAACTGCAATTACGAAAATAATGACATCGATTTTGATGCGGATGTACATAGGATGGCGAGTGCGGTAGATGCTGTCGGGGAACCGATTCCGACATCGGCGGTGCTAATGTCGGCATCGAAGCACATCGCCGGTAGATGCAGAGGCGAAAATCTAGCCTTCCTCAAATGCAAGAAGGATGATCCCAACCCTGAGAAATGTCTCGACAAAGGCAGCCAAGTTACCCGTTGCGTCATGTCCCTGTAAGTGTATAGTTTCCACCAGGATATTACCTTGATTTCAATGAATCTACACACAAACTAATGAATTATAGGTTCACTAATAAGTGAACTTGCATAATATAGTCTGATTTATGTTAAAGTTTGTCTGAGTATTTGATGGAAGCTTGTGTATTCAGTGAATTAAGCTGTAACGAAGCGTAGTACTTGTATAAATCTGGTGATTGAGTTAAGCCGATTAAGCTACTTCTGACCTTTTGGATTTATGTGGTGTTCTAAAACATTTTCTAAGCTATTTCTAGGCCTCTTTTTATGCACCATGTTCATAAAAGAGCACCAACATTTAGCTCATTGAATAATCCTGAATTTTGTGGATACCCAATGGATGCTTATGAGACAAACTAGCAATACATCAAACATTCTAAGGAAGGATCTTATGAGACAAATTATGCAATACATCAAATATTCTTGAAGGAAGGATCAATAATCGCTTAAAATCTAAATGAAACTTAAGCAATCTAAAAAACAAGAAAATCTTATACATTATAGCACTCTAGAGGGCTCATGATATTGTATGTAATGTAATGTAATCTAGACTTTCTAGGGGCTCTTGTTGGTGTTGGAGTGCTGTTTTCAGGTAATATATATAGGCCAAATTGCAGGGGAGAGCAACATTCTTTAAATTTGATTAGAATACTTGTAAAACTTTCATAATAATTGAGGATTAGAATACTCTTTATATGTTAATTCATTATCAGATGATGGGCTGTTAACACCATTGATTTACCTTAATATTGGCATTAGCTACAACACATAGTCCAAGATTTTGAGTGAAACAATTTCAACAAATGGAAGTTCATCATCGAACAATTTATGTGGTCTAAATATTTTGTGTTAATTGCTAATCAGTAATTGGTATTATCTTATTCTTAATTGGTACTTAACTAGGGAATGTAAATAATGGAATTATGAATAAGGTATTTTAGCCATTTATATTTTTTTCATAGTTAAAAAAAAAAGAATAAAAGGAATCACATTATTTCTGGAATAGTCCATTTCATCTGATCACACAAATCAAACAACTTATTCCATTTTTTACCCATTTCCATCATACCAAATAATTGCAAATTTTGTTAGTGTTTGTAAGTCTATTTCAGATGTACTTTTTGTATCCTTTTAAGTGCTAAATGAAAAAAATTGCAACATACTTTCATTTACGTGTTTTATGTTTTATTTCTGTTACAATATTGTATTTTCAGTTTTTTTTTTGTCTTCTTAAGGCGTACTTTTTTCTTATATTTGAACACTTTACCAATAACAACAGTGAATATTTACTTTGTTTATGGATGAGATTGCTATAATTGGGTAGATTTTTCAAATGTACAAGTTCCAATGCTTTAATAGAAAAAAATATAATAATTAATAAACAAATCAAATAATCAATAGAAGTGCATTGCTATTTTGTTGCATTTAAGCCTAAATTATGCTATATGTATGGGTTGTAGGCTGAAAGATCTTCATCAGAAGTGCACAAAAGAGATGGATGCTTATGCTGGGTGTATGTACCACAATACAGATGAATTTGAATTATGTCGCAAACAACAGAAAGATTTTGAGAAATCTTGTCCGTTAAGTTGAACCCATGCTGCCCGAATTTTCCGGGCAGTGTTTTCGGTCATTGAGGTTGCCCTTGGAAAAGCTAATTTGCATTGTTCAGATTGAAAATAAGATATGAATGTGTAAACTTTGGTATCTGATTGGAGTTTCCATGTTTTTATTGCGTATTTTGTTGATGATTGTTGTATGGAGTAAAACGTTTGTTTTATCGGACAGCATTTACTGCTTACTTGGTTATTATTTCCAAGGCCAAAGACAATTATAGTTTGTGTTTTTTTAACTACATAAATATATTTTTTTTCAAATATTGAGTATTTTTTTTTCCAAAAATACCAACATGGGTCTTCCGGTAATGAATCACAAAAAACATTTTTCTGGTTAAAGTTGTTTTTAAAAAAGAAATTCAGAGGTTAAATAATAATAATAATAATAATAATAATAATAATAATAAATTTATTACGGTTGTTAAATGGAGCAAATTTCAAAATATAATGGTTTTTCTAGATTTTAAAGTTTTATGCATCGAGTATTTTGAAAACAAACTAAAGTCTAGTTAAATAAATAAAAAACCTTCCAATAGTTAAACCGGGGTGTTTGAATTCTGTCTAACTAGGCTCATTCAAACCTTGTTCTACTTGGTCCGGGTAAATGTATTTGGTACCAAGTTTATTTTGTCTTTTATTCGGTCTGTGGATGTGTGGATGTTTGACTCGGTCCTGAAGGAAAAAAAAACACTAAAACGTTGATCGAGATAAAAAATCTTCTTTTCCCTCCTTTGCCCTTCTCATTCTCTTCTCAAACGCTTTTTTCCTTTAGCTCCCTACCTCGTTCATTCAAGCAGCTCCTCCCTTGCCTTTGTCGTCGTCGTCCACCACTATCCAGTGACACCCAACTCTAATGGAACCCCTCCTCTCTAACATAGAGGGAGGAGATCAAGTTCCTATGGAGTTTTGTGATTGAAGGTAATGCTCGAACCAATGCTTGAATTTGTTAGGGCCATAGGTTTTATGGATGTGTATTGTTGTTTGATTCATTCATATACTCTAAATCATGTATTCGGTTGAGATTTTGTGGGTTTATTGAGGTTTTTTTGTGGTTTGCTTAGGAGTAGGAGTTCAAATCTATGCTAAATTTTTTAGTTCAAAGTGAGGAGTTCTAAGATGTCATACTCTCGTTTTATCTCTCAATAAGAAGTGGAAATTGAAACTGAAAGCCTCAACTTGACTCTCCAAGACCTCTAATCACCAACCAAAACTGAATTGTACTTGGAAATTGGAGATTGGAACTTGTTTCTCAGCATAACCGCTCAATCCCTCTCCGGTTAGTAATTGATATTTTCTATCCACCTAGGCCACACAAGGGGTAGATAGCCTCAACTTATGCACTTGAGGATTATGTAGGAATTTACTCACAACAAACAATACAAAATAGTTGTCAATTTGGATACCCAGGATCTCATAGTCACAACCAGTCCTAGCATAATATGCATAAGTAGGATGCTTAAAACAATTTCCAAAAAATATAGCCTTTTTGCTTCTATAAGCAATTCATTTTCAAAGATGTCACTTCATGAATGCACATATAATTCACAAAACAATCAAGGTTTACATATCATACCATATAATGAAAGCCAACAAAACTTATCAAAATTTCAAAAGCAAGATAGCGTATGTGTGTTCTTGGTAACTCATCTTGATCTAATCTTAGTAATACCACAATCTTCTTTATTTGGCTAGGTTTCTTCAAACATTATGCTTCCAAATCAATTACCTAAAATCATCATTATAATGTTGTCAAAAAACCAATATACCATTGTATGGGTCAATTTGGTATTCTAAGGGCACAAAGCTTCTTAAGTATCATAATATGAAGGATAGAAGTAGGGATGAGCGTGGGATGGAACCGGTACCGACCGCTACCGTTCCCGATTTCTCGAAAACCGAATTTGATCGAAAGTCAATCTATCACACCCTGTTTCGAGTCGTTTCATAATTCGGGATCGTGACACGAAGATCAAGTATCATAAGGCTTCAGGCTTTTGGGAAAGAGAGGTTTAGACCCATTTTGATGTGGGTAATGTAGATTACGGGATCTAAGAGTTTGGTTTGTCTTTGAGTCAAAGGGTAAGACGGGAAAAGTGATGTTTTAGACTTCTTGCATGAAATATGGATTTTTGTTCAGGAAGTTTTTTGTAACACCATGTCCCGAATCGTTCCTATTTCGGGGTAGTGACCAAAGATCGGGTATTGTCAGGATTAGGACCTGTGAGGGAATGAGATCTGGACCCATTTGAATGTGGGTGGCATAATTTAGATGATTCGGGTGTTCGGTTGTGTTTTGGAGCCAAGGAGGTATTTCGGTAAAGTGTCAGATCGGGGATTTATGGAGATTGGATTTTTGTTTGGGAAATTTCAAGGAAAATGTGAGTTGATATAAGCGTAGAGCTTCTCGTTACCTCTTCGTAGATATAAGGATCGTCGGAAACAGACTTATAACGACGAAGTTATGGCCTTCGGAGAGTTGTAGGGTTTGAAGCTAACCCTAGTACGCGGGGTGTACATAGGGAGTACGCGGGGCGTACTTGTGCCAAGGTCAGTATGCGGGGCGTACCTCGGTTTACGCTAGGCGTACGATGAAGAAGGATCGCGACTCATGTGAGGAGTACGCTAAGTGTAATGGCAGTACGCGGTGCGTACTCCTGATTCATGCAAACCCTATTTTAGGGCCTTGGACCCTATTTAAGCTTATTTTCTCTTCACCAAACCCTAATACCTTCAGTCTCCATCCCTTTTTCCCTAGAATCGAACCCTAAGTGCAATTTGGTGATTTTGAGTTTGGAATGTGCATGATGGATGTTTTGTGAAGAAGAAGAAGAAGAGAGTCATTTGGAGATACGACTTGAGCTTCTAGATCCAAGAATATCTTTCCATTTGCAAGCTTCCTAAGGTAAAAAGCTTTAACCTTGATGATATTTTTGGTTGGATCTTCTATATGGAGTTTCTTTGGCATTATTGAGTCTCTTGATGAAAAGGTGAGCTTGTGATCTACTCCAGAAGTAGTGGATGTTAGATCTAAGCTCCAATAAGGTTCTTTATTCATAAAAATCGAAACTTTATGATAGATTTTGGTCCATGCATGTATTAAGCTCCTATTAACTTCTTTTTAAAGTGTTGAGTCTCATTAAGACGTATTTGTAAGAAAAGTTGGAAACTTTATTGGTTAAGACCTTGCCTAGGGACCATATCAATGTTTTGGACACCTGGACTTAACCCATTAAGAGCTAATGAGGGGTTTGGAGTTCTGACTAGTACGTTGGGCGTACGAGGAGGTACGCTCAACGTAATTTGAGGATTGTGCATAAGGAAGTTGTATATTGTGCATCTTGGTCGAGTACGCGGGGTGCACGTCTTGAGTACGCTGGGTGTACTCCCCAGTGGGTCGTTTTGGGATTTTGAGGCTTGGGCCATCGGTGGGTTCTCTTAGTGTAGGCCTTATTGGGCCATTTGACTTCCTTTTGGGCTTTTTTGGATTTTAGGCCCATAAAGGGTTTAGAGGACCCAATTTGGAAAATTGGGCCATAGTTGGTTTGGATGTTTATGTTGGAATTTGGGCCTTGGGCCAGGTTATGGAAAGGGTAAAAGGGTCTTTTACCCTAGCTTGGACTCTCAGTGTAGATCAGGACCCGATTATTGATTGGATGTTTACTTTGTGATTTATAGCGCGGGGAGTTTGTTATCGGGCCAGCAGCCAATGATTCTTTCTGCGAGATTCGGCAGTGCAATGTGAGTTTCCTCTCTATGTTTAGCGGGTCGAAGGCACCAATGCCGGCCCATGGTTTTTATGCTTAGTATGCTTGTTGTCTGCGTGACTCTTGTATGTGTTATGTGTTATGTTTACCGAGCAGACTCGATGATGGGCGGGACCCGATGCCAGGCGGGGCTTGAAGAGTATACTGTATGCTAGTGATTTGTATGTGTTTTTATGATTACCGGGTACAACTCGATGCTGAGCGAGGCCTGGTGACTGTATTATATGCTATTGTTTTATGATCATTGTATGTGTTAGCATGATTATATGTCTATGTGTATACTGGGCATGGCCCGATGACAGACGAGGCCTAAGAATAACAGGTCTGTATACCGAGCGGGGATCGATGACTGGCGGGGCCTGAAGCCTAATGGGACTCGATACCGGGCGGGGCCCGATGGAGGGCGGGCGCCCAGTATGTGATTTATTATGTATGGTATGTGGTATCTTGGGGAACTCACTAAGATTTATGCTTACGGTTTTCAGTTTATGTTTCAGGTACTTTAGTTTTCAAATGAAAGAGCTCGGGATGATTGCAGAGCACACACCACATGTTTCCGCATTTTATAATTTACTCTGATATTGATGATGTATCGATACATCTGATAACCTTGGTTTTATGACTGCAATATGGTTTGATGTTTTATTAATCTAAAAATGAAAAATTTTATGGTCTTATTTGTGGGATGTTACAAGTTGGTATCAGAGCCTTGGTTTGAGGGATTCGGACACACTCTCGAGTGTGTCTGAACTCAAATTGTGGCTGAAGGTATTAGGGTTTGGTGAAGAGAAAATGAGCTTAAATAGGGTCCAAGGCCCAGGTTTGCATGAATCAGGAGTACGCCCCCTGTACTGCCATTACGCTTAGCATACTCCTCACAAGAGTCGCGATCTTAGTTATATGCAACTTGTATACACTGCATAATTATAGGAGGACCCGATAAGGACCACCATAAAAACTTTTAATATTCTTTAGACATACCCATTCTCGCACGACAACATAGTTAGATATAACCACTCCACTACATCAGTCATCAGAGGAGTCAAGGAAAATCGAAAAGAAATTCATAAGGAGAATTCTGAGAAGGAAACGGATGAGGATCAAAGAAATAGAGAAATCATCAAGGACCTTTAACCTATCGAGAGTAGATTTGAGAAGCTCACTTAAACATTCAAATTCAAACCCTCCATTATGAAGTAATGGGGATCAATGTCCAAAACTTGAAGCATGACAGAACGGAGATTCAACATGCCTGAGAAGATCAAGGACACCATATAGATACTAGGAGATAACAAATCATTACCACCAAGAGTAGGACAGAGAACAGAGGAAACCACTCGTGACACATGCGAGGTGGTAGAGAACTTGATGCGTCATACTAATAACTAATAATGGATATAACCTAGTGATTTGGTGATTACACTACTCACACTATGTGTTAGGCTTATT